CTTGTTTTCGGAAACTCCCACTTGAACAGGCAGCCTTTGGCCCAGTTGTTGCCAGCACCGCCCCCATCTTTGGAGATGAAAACATTCTCGGGGTTGTAGAGCCTGGGAGAGGTCCAGAGGGTTTAGGGTTTAGGGTTGGAGGGTGTCAGGGTGTAGCAGCGTCACACGACTCAGGCTGCCAAAATGTGGACAGAACTTACACGCCACTGCACAAAGAAATCACACCAGTCCTATTGAGCTTACTTCCACAATAAGCCACGAAAGTAAAAGGTTAAACTTACAGATTACTACTAAACTATAAGATTATAAGAACCCAGGAAAGTTTAAAGGTTGGGTATTGGAGAACTACGTGAGCCAACCTCACATCCACAAGCTTCTGCTGTGGAGGGCTGCTGTTTCTGAGGTGCGGCTAGAGAGCTCCGCATACTCGGAGGATTGAATCACGTTGATCACCTCGGCTGATAGTGCTCTACGGGTCCATGTATTCATACGATATGTATATATATATATATATACCTTGGCCCCAAAATACCTATATAGGGACTACTTGTAAGGCCGAAGTATCTACTATTGGGGGTACATGGACCCTGAGGGCTGGTCCTGAACAGGGTGTACGACGCTAGTCTTCTGATACTTCGAGGCTTAGGGTTTAGGGTTTAGGGTTTAAGGTTTAGGGTTACTAAAGCCCTAAAGCGAACGTTGGAGGTACAGAAACAAGTTCATGGAGCAAGGCTGATTCTTCGGCCAAGGCAAACAAAAAAACAGAATATCCATCGTAGCCAACACGACCATTGCAAAAACAGAAGAAGCAAATCAAGCCACCAACTTCACTGTGAGTGGTTTTCATGTTGGAGCTGCCCACTGAAACAGTAAGAGCATCACTTCCAGAGGGGGGGTCTTCCTTGATTGCACACCGCAGAACTACGATGTTGTTTTCTGGATGAGCCCTAGTACTTCAGACCCGGGAAGATGCATCTTACCAGCGCCCTCGGACGTTAACAAACCCCAAACCCTAAACTCTAAATCCAGATTTCTTGCGTGCTGCAGGACCCTAAGCACAAATAGCCCATTCGCCTCAATCAAACCCCTACAGTAGCCCTTATAATTTGAAGGAACCCTATTCTAATTATGAGTGCCTGCTACAGGAGAGAGTCCACCCTAAGAAGCCAAAACCGAACCGAACAGCCTGAGCCCCCTCCCGGTAATCGAAACTTCTAAACCCCTATGGTAGAAACCAGAAACTTGGAACATGATTACCCTCATGCCTTTAGGGCAAAGGGGATTCTAGCACTATAATCCTCCTAAGCCCATGTTCCAACTTTCTGGGATTTGCTGTAGCCCAACCGAGGGTATCCTCAATCCTGGCCGAAAAGCCTACACCCGAAACCTCAGATCCTGAAACACCTCTTCAATACAGCCGAAGACCCGATGCCCTGAGCCCTGAACTCTAAAACCGAGATCCTTAAATCCTCAGACCTAAACTCTAAAACCCGAAATCCTCAAATCCTCAGACCTAAACTCTAAAAC